ATCAGCGGCGCTGATCCTGCCCAACAGCCCCAGCATGAAAAAACCAGTGTCTCTGATAAATGCACTACATATAGGAAGATTTCCACTATTGCTTACCCAAATTCTTCAAAAACTTCACCTGAAGGCTGAGAGCAGTTTCAGTGAGGATAAAGAAAAAAAACTTCAAGCTGCATTTTCTCTAGAGAAACAAGACCTTCACCTAGGTCTTGAAACAATACCATTTATTTTAGAACAGTATATCACAATGTGAAGCCAGCAACTTTGCAGCAGCAATTAAAGAATATTCATCCTGAGCAAGACAAAACAGAAGCATTTGTCAATACTTGGTCTTCTATGGGTCAAGAGAGCTGAAAAATTCAGGCAGAGGATTCTGGCTCCCCACAAGAGTTTTGTTAAGCTGTTCAGTGGATGGAATTTATAATTCTCCTGCTTCAGCCTCCTCCAGTGCTAAGATTACAGCTAGAGACAGCTGGAAGGCAGCTTAGCCTTCAAATGGCTCACTTTGCTCAAGCAAAACTAAAATTGCCTCAAGCTATGTTACAACTAGGAGTGAACAGTGAAGATTCAAAGAACCTGGAGTTCTTGTGGAATTCAGTCACAAGGAAATGTTTGATTTCTATAACAAGCTAGAGAGTATATAAGCACAGCTGGACTCCCTTACATGATGTTTTTGAAGACTGGTTTCCCCATCACACTCCTGCCACCCCATTATTTTGCATTGAAGAGAGATTGTCTAGCTGTGTTTTTTGGAAGATTCAGTGACTTTCTTTCTATAAATTGTATGACTCATCACTTCTTAGACAAAGAATAACCAAGGGAAATCAATGTTAAGAACACTGAGGTTTGTTTTTTTTTTTAAATCTTTTTGCGACAGGGTCTCGCTGTGCACTTCAGGCTGGCCTTGAGCTTACTTTGTAGCCCAGGCTGGTCTCGAACTTGCAACGATCCTCCTGCCTCAGCCTCCCGAATGCTGATATACAGTACTTTGCTAGTTCTGTGAACCGGTAGCAATGGTTAGGAACACTTCTGCTTTAAAGAAATCAAAAGTGAATAGTATATTGTTTTTACTGTCATCTTTATTGCCTCATCTGTTTATTGTTTACATTCTTGATAACTCCTGTGTGTATCACGGAGGGCCCACATGGAAAAGGTATAATATGTACCCTAGCAGAACACAGAAGTTCAATAATTACATTGATAAAATAAACAGCCATATGCAGTCAAATATATTATGGCATTTTTTCCTATGTGTATATTTTTTTGCTTGAGAAATAATATAGGAAAGAAATTTAAAGTAGAACTAGTAGTATTAGATCAGTTAATTCTAATGTCAGCTTTTCTCTCTACATTAGTTTTTCTAAGTTTAATGATTTAAAAATGCAGGTTTTTATGTGCTTTTCTTTGTGATGAAAATTAGCGATTTGCTTCACAGTGTGAGACACAGGTGCAGATCATGAATACGAACAACTGTAATGAGTAGTAAATGAGCATCTTTAAAATTTCAAATTAGATACCTTTTATATTCTCTTCCCTGAGTATGTTAATTGATTTCTGTCAGTAAAATTTTTGTATTTTAGAATTATTTGAAAAAAAAGGAACAAATCTGAGAGGGACCACTCTGTGAGTAGAGACCAGACCAGCAACTCTGCTCAGGCTGTGTGGTCCTGTGTAGGGTCATGGGGAGGGTGAGTTCAGTGAGAGGGTGCTGGAAGCTGCTGGAGCTGGATATTGTGAGCACAGGACAGAGCCAGAGTGCCTCAGGCAGTCAAGCTACCTCAGTATTGGAAAAGGAATCCTGCCTGGACAATTGCAGTCCTTAGTTGGACTTAGTCGCTAGGCAACGTTATCTCTCCTGATACTAACTTTGCAAGAGTATAAAATAAAGGCCCCTACCACTGAAGTCAGTCCTGTTGCTCATCAGTTAAGAGGTAACTCCACCTAACCCTGGCTCTTGTCTCTTGTCTTTATTTTCTAAATCCTCTCTGCATTTTCTCCTGGGGACCACAGAGACACACCGACTCCCACAAGAGGGGGTTGTGGATCCCTGCCAAGAACAAGGCTTGAGAGAACACAAGGAGTAATGATTGGCCAGGAACCAGGCTTAGGAAAGTGTAGAGAGTCCTGGCTTCTATCAACAGCAAAGTGGATATTATTATGAGTCCCCAGGTGCAGCTGTGCTAGGAGGGGGACAGCTTACAGGGCTCTCTGATCAGGATGGGGGCAGTCGGAGTCCTTCAGTCTTAATTACAAAATACTGTGACCTCAGTAATAGCAGATCTGTAGATACAAAAAACCAAATTTTCTTTAAGTTAGCTCATTCAGAGAAACAAGCAAGTGACCTGAGGCAGAAGCACAAGTGGATGGGAAGTCTTGAAGACAACCCTGTGAGTGCTGTAAGGGCCTATGTGAAAAATCACTATTCCAAGTGCTTCTGTACCATTCACATTAAAACAATAGATGGGCAACAAAGTATTATTTCATTTATCAAAAGCCATCAGTTTAAGCCAAAAAACTAACTGAGTAGCTCTTGGAGATCAAAGGGGAGGTTCATAGTCATATCACCCATATCCCTGGTAGTTGTAGTGCTGAAGATTCAGGACCAGTATTATAAATATGGCAATGACAATCAGTAAGTCATAAAGATATACTGGACACCATAACTATTTCGAAGCCCAAAAAACTAACAAGTTATTAAAATCATATGGCATTGGTGGTTGTTTGTACCTAAAGTCCCAACTTCTTGGGAGGCTGAGACAGGAAGATCACTTGAACCCAGGAATTTGAGGCCAGTGCGGGCAACAGAGTGAGACTCTACCCCACCCCACCCCTGCCCAAAAAATCATAGACATGCAGAAAATGAGTATCAGACAGTAATTGGTGAAAGTTATCAAACAACGTGACATATCACATACAAGCCCTTTTGGAAGCATCTTACAACTACCTGAACCAATATCAACTGGCATAAGATACTCAGCTACAAGACTGACAAGGAAATACAGAATGTTTTAAGGCTGAATGTAGGATTCTTCACTATGTAGAAAGAAAAGGATTCACTGTACGGAGGTAATGATAAAGATATGATTTATAAACAAGAGTAATGTTTGGCTGGGGCTTTCAAAATTACCACATTTTCTAACCTCATAGAAAATAACATTGTCTTAATTCTTTTTGTATTTTCTCCTTGTAATTTTGCTACATTTATACCTATCTAAAATATATACTTTAAAAAATTCTGCTACATTGAGTGTAGAGAATGACATACTACGGCGTCATTTTGCTGTTCAGAAATCATCCTAAATATACACATTTATTATGCTCAGTACTTTTATACTCTTATCTTTCAAAGTACTTCTGATACTTCAGTTCCTTTTACTAATTCACCAACTTTTAAAATGGTGCAATCTATAGCTAAATGGAAGGCACACTCGTCCTTCTATCCCCTGTAAGGTTCAATTTGCACATGACTCCCACAGTACTCAACCTATCTGCAGCAGAGGCATTGTTCTCAGCTCAGACAAATGCCCTCAGCAAACACATGATGTCTTAAGACAGATGAGATGGAGCACGGAATCTTCCAAGCACTCGGACAGCTGAAAACACCCAAACATTTACACTGGATGCCTCAAGGACTTCGCCCACTGAGGCACAAGACATCCTGAGAACTTTGAGCACTGATGTTTACTAAGATTTTTCCCACCTAATGTCCCTTGCCTTCTTTCAGTCCCTACAAAAAAAAAAAAAAAGCTCACTTCTCTTTCCTCCCTATCTGAGGGACTTTTTGCCCTCTGCGTGCACCCAGGCACAATAAATTCCATACCATGTTGCCCTTACACAAGTGTGGTGGTCTCAGCTGATCTCTGCCTCACACTATTCCTTACAATGCCTATTCTTTTTATCTTTGTATACAGCATCCATAATTATAGTTTTGAGAAGTTGGATGGCAATTTTCTAAGTAATTTATTTAGGGGGGATCTAAACTAAAGCAGTTTTCCAAAAATTCCACCACGACCACCTCTTAAGGGAAGTTGCTCGTGTGTGTGTGTGTGTGTGTGTGTGTGTGTGCTATTTTGTTTTCTGTGTATATATGTGTTGGGAATAAAAGCCAGGGTCTCCTATAGGCTATGAAATCGCTCTACCACTGAACTGCACTCCTACTCCAGGAAGTTGTTTTTAAATCCAAGCTTGAACTGCATTCCTCTGCACGACCACGTTCATTTTTTTCCTACCCCTCATTGGCTTGATCCCTTCCACAATAATACCAATGTAACCATACACAGTCATATTTTTAGATGAATTTTGCTTATTTTTAATGCTCAAAAACTGCTAACATGCTGTTTAAGTAGTAGAATATAAAACTTGAAAAAAGCAGATGTTGATCTCACAATAGAGCTGTAACGTAACGTTGCATAATTAAACAGTAAGCAAATTAATCAAATAACTATGTAAATCACAAAAATCCCTTACTATAAAGTCTCAAAGAATGTCTTCACTTTTAATCCGCCTTAGATTAATTGCTCCTGGTACATTATTCCTTGAATAGGCTCCTCCGTAGCACCTGTGCTACCAGGTATCAAACACGTCTCATACTCAGAGTCTGAAAAAAAAGCAGGAAAATGTACGCGTGAAATCTCAGGAGGAGTCCAGGGCCAAACGTAAGCCAGGTAATATTCAAGGGCTGTGGACTGAGGGCCTGGGAGGAGTGTGGCAGCACTTCTCATTAATTTCCAGAACACCCCCACCCCTGCTCACCAGGAGGAGCGGGCTCCTTCCCTGCTTATCTACAGTCCTCTAGGGAAACCTGAGCCCTGCTCCCTCGGATCCTGACCACGCCTTGCTTAGATGCTTTAGAACACACGTACTGCACCCGCTCTTCAGCAGTTTACCCGGTAACGCGCCTGCGCAGTAGAGACCACCAGGACTCCAGGGCCGATCTGCGCGCAGGCGCCCGAGCTCTGCCCTCCGCTCACACTCCGCCCACCCAAGGCTGCGCCCACCTCCGCGAGTACTTCCGGCGGCGACAGCTCGGCGCTGACCTCCACGCAGCCCAGCGAGGCCAGCGAAGCCGGCGGACCCAGCTAGCCAGGCGCGATGGACGGTCGGGTGCAGCTGATGAAGGCGTTCTTGGCTTGGCCCCGGCCCAACCCGCGCCGCTGGAGGAACCCGATTCCCTTCCCCGAGACGTTCGACGGGGACACCGACCGGCTCCCCGAGTTCATCGTGCAGACCGGCTCCTTCATGTTCGTGGACGACAAGACGTTCTCCAGCGACGCGCTGAAGGTGACGTTCCTCATCACCCGCCTCACGGGCCCGGCTCTGCAGTGGGTGATGCCCTACATCGAAAAGGACAGCCCCCTGCTCAGCGACTACCGGGGCTTCCTGGCCGAGATGAAGCGGGTCTTTGGATGGGAGGAGGACGAGGACTTCTAGGCCGCGGGGCCCGCGGGCCTGGGCCCGGTGCTCGGGAGGGTGGGCTGCGCCGTGCCTGTCGCCAGGGGCGCCCTGCCTCCCTCCCTCCGCCCCCG